TAGTTTGTACTTCAAACTGTAACATTTTGCAAACTTTTAACCTAGTAAATAAAACTTTTTAAAATTAATTGTTAAATGTTTCACTATATTTTGTTCTTTGTATCTTAGAACAATAGTGAAGATAAAATGATCAAAATCAAATGTAACAGATATGACAACAAACTCACAGGTAATGAAAATAGATAATAAATAAAATTTAATACTTCAGTGCATCAAAGGCAGTAATAAAAAGGCAACTGATGGGAAGAGTTATTTTCAAAGCATATAATAAGTTTACAAAATACTAATATCCAGAATTTGTAAAGATAGGATTCAAACCAAGAAAAAAAAATAGGTTTAAAAATGGAGAAAAGCCACTATAACTATTGTTGAAGACATCACACATTTTAGTTGCTAGAAATAGAGAAATCAAGCTGGAACTAACCTGAAACTTTCTCCCTTCTAGGTATCTTTCATTGTACCAGCAGGTATGATGCAGGCTCATAGCAAATAAAAATCACCAATAGTCTTATCCATAGTGGACTTGTGTGTTACAATAATGACATGCCAGACAAGACATGCCCATTGATACAATAGTGGTATGACTGTTTTATATATGTGTGACCAACTGCTTTCTGTCTGATTAAAGGCTTGCTCCACAGAGGGAATTCATGCTTGGTACTGTTCAGCTGGTCAAAAACCCATGATTGGCCATACGCCCTAGTAGGGAACCTACTGCTATTGTTTTGCTAAATGGTCATGTTGTTAAACTGTCTTCTAAATGTTTATGTTTATACCCAAAGATCAGTGCATCTCTAAATTTTGACCTGACGTTAATATGAAGACTCAAAGCTGGCCAAATTGCTGAGATTAAGCAACCAGGGAATGTGCAGCCCTAAAAGGGACAACCAAACTTCCCCTCTCCAGTCTCAGGCAACATTACAGAAGAGGGAGAACAAAGAATATAAAAACCAGATGGCAGGAGGAATGCTGAGAAATAGGGCCTTTTAGATATGACATGGCATATCATGAAGTCAAAGCAGCTGTGGTTACCTGTACAAGAGCAAGCCAGTCAACATTCCAGTATGGATTGGAGGGGCTCATGAGGTCCCACCCCTGGCTGAAGAATTACTGACAGCTAATGGCTACTTGGGAAAGGAAAGTCATTTTCTTTGGGGCTGGTGAGTTATTCTTGCCCTGGTAGACAGCTCCATAATTATGCACATGCAGGCAACACTAATTTGATTCTCTGGGTAAATATTAAAAAAAGGTCATGAAGGTTGGATGGGGACATGTTGGGAAGGTTGCTAGAGGAGTGGGAGGAAAATCTTAAAGTGGATATGATTAAGATACATTGTATATATACATGAAATTATTAAAAGAATAAAAATATTCAAATTTAAAAATGGTAAAAGGATTTTATTTATTTATTTATTTATTTTTGGTTTTTCGAGACAGGGTTTCTCTGTGTAGCTTTGCGCCTTTCCTGGAACTCACTTGGTAGCCCAGGCTGGCCTGGAACTCACAGAGATCCGCCTGGCTCTGCCTCCCGAGTGCTGGGATTAAAGGCGTGCGCCACCACTGCCCGGCCAGGTCAAAGCATTTTAAAGAGAGATTTCTCCAAAGAAAGTATGGAAATGGCCAGCAAACACATTAAAAAGATCTTCAATATAACTACTCACTAGGAAACAGAAATCAAAAATATAATTATTCCATGCTCATTAAAATAGCTATTGCTTAGAACAAAAACACAAAGTAAGTCTTGTGGTGGTATTCTAATTGTACTGAAATGTGATTTTGATTGTATGTTAATAAATAAAGTTGCCTGGAGGTCAGAGCTATTAGAGCCATAGCAAGAGAGTGGCGGTGGTGGCACACGCCTTTAATCCCAACACTTGGTAGAAGAGCTAGGTAGATCTCTGTGTGTTCAGGGATACAGCCAGCATTGGAGACATATGCCTTTAAGACCTGGGGGACTGTACATACAGACAGTGACGAGGCAGTCACGTGTTTGGGTTTACAACCAATGAGAAGGCAGAACAAAAGACTATGAAACGACTTACACACAGGAAATAGCTCTCTTTTGGGAAGTTAGGAGCTCGCAGGAGGAAGGGTAAGATTTTAGCTCTGAGCTCTGACCTCTCGGCTTTCTCTTTTACATTGGTTCTGTGTTTCTTATTTAATAAGACGGTTGGTTACATCTACAAAGTCTTGGCAAGGATATAGAGAAATTAAAAGTCCTGGTGGATGGCAGTAAGATCTTGAAGAGAAAATATGCACACCTAGGTTCATTCATTATTCACAAAAGCCAAGAAGTAAAATGACCTTGTTTCTAACAGTAAAAAATAAAAGGATAAACAAAGTGTGGTATGCCCATACAATAGAATATTATTCAGCCCTACAAAAGAGGCAAACTCTAATATAGACTTAAATACTACAACATGGATAAACACTGAGGGCAGAGACAAAAAGACAAATGTTGTGAGCATCTATTTGCATACTAGGGTAGTTAAATTAATAGAAAGAGAAGCAGATGGTAGTTTCTGGAAGAAGAGGAAGCTGATGGGTGTAGAAGTTCAGTTTTACATGACAAAGAAGTTGTAGAGTTGTTGTATATACTTGGCAATGTTCAACTATACACTTAAAATGTTTAACATAGTAAATTCTGTTAAGTGCTTCTTTTACTGGGCAAATAAAGGTACCAGTAGTTAAGAAGCACAGGTCTTAAATACAGCACACAATTAAGTAAAATGGCAACCATTCAGCATGCTAATTTCTGGAAGCACACTAGACAAGTTAGACATGAGATTAAAGAATATTTACAAAACATGCAGTACTTATACTAGACATGTATTATATAGATTTATATAAAATAAAATATAAATTTTATACTGTTTCTTTGGGAGTGGAACATCTTTGTATGAGCATGAATTAACTGCAGAAAATCATAGGTTTCTTTTTTGGGAGACAGGCTCTTCCATAGGCCAGGGTGACCTTAAACTCACTATGTAGCAGATGATGCCCTTGAACTTCTGGCTGCTAATACAGGCACCATCACACTGGTTTTATGTAAGCTGGTGGTCAAACCCAAGGTTTCATGTACACTATGCAAGCATTCTACCAAAGCTCCATCTCTAGCCCCAAAATGAGTTTCATTATGACATTTTCATACATTTATACTTTGATCTTACTCAGCAATGATACTGGGGTATCTTTTGGTATAGCATATGTCAATTTTTCTGTTTATTGCTGTACTTCTGCATTTTTTGAAGAAAATATTAAATAGAAAAATAGTAAGTATAAACAGGAAATACCAGCCGAGGGCTCTTTAGGTTTTGCCCATTAACAGTGACTCTAGTCACTGTGTTGGATCTGGTTTGTTTCTTTACTTCTGAGAAACATATCACTGCACTTCTTTGGACAGCTTACCAGAAAAGCTGGCATTTTCAAGGTAATATGAGCAGTGGACAGAAGATTCAAGTTACAGAGACAGCGTTTTAATGAATAATATCAACTACAGACTCAGGCAGAAACCCCCCATTATCCCTTCTACCATCACCCAGATAAACTCCCACACATCAGGCTCTGGCCAATATCAGAGATAAGTGAAGGAATCAAGTTAACCAAAGTAGCTTCAGATTCAAAGAATTAACTAAAACATACCATCACAAAAATTACATAGAAGTTCTTAAATTCTTTTGGATATTGAAGCAGCAAGGCCACTGATTCCTGTGCTCTCCAAGGCCAGGTGTACATGGACACTACCACAGTGAGTGCAGCAAACAGGAGTGAAGGAGTGGGACAAAGTGCTCTGGGGAGCACAGGGAATGTTGGGGGTTTCTCCTGAAACACTTGAGTTAAGTTATAGTTTAAGGACCTAAAGTGTGAGAAAGATGGTTTGCCTATAGCTAGTACTGTCTAAATCTGAAACTGAAATAAAACTAATGGACTGAAATTTATTTTTATTTTAGTATCCAACCTTAAATGCCAACATTACAAAAATCAATCAGCTGCCACAATGCACTGAGGAAACATTGGTTTTTCTATGAATTGGCTGGTTGGGGAAGTTAATTTTAGTTTAAGAAAGGGCTTATTAAAACAAAAATATAACTTCAAAAGGCTCAAACAACAAGTCAGGGCCTGAGAAGAGAACAGGGAGGCATACTTCAGCAGGATTTGTGGAGTGTGATTTCCACTCAATATTCTTCCTGGAAACCTTTCAAATGTTGTGTCTTACAGATCTACAACTTATCACTATCATGAATAAGAATAATAGGAGTGATGAGGACCTACAGAAACAGTCCTCAGTAAGAAATACCAGGGAAAGACACCCACAAAATAATCTTAAGAAGGTTGTGGGACACTGGGCAAATTCTAACCCAAATAGGTTTTAGAAAGAGAGAAAAAAAAGTCACATTCACAGAAATGCTAAATCAGCAACAGAGATGACTTGTAGAGCTTGGGTTCACTTACTTCCTCTTTTTCTGTGTCATATATATATATGTATATATATATATATACATACATACACACACAAATATATATACATACACATATATGTGTATATATATATGTCTATGCACTCTCTATGTATGCATTACTAGCTCACACGTCTAAGTACATAATACATATAATCGTGTCCTGGATAATAACATCTGGTCAACAACAGACCATACATGACAGTGGGTCTCTGTCAGCAAGCTCTTGTGCTGTTGTGACATCAGAAAAACAAGCTAAAGGTGGAAGGACCTGTTTGCTCTGGTTTCAAAGGTATCACTGCTTCATGGTTGGGAGCGAATGGTAGGGCAGAGACATCCACAGTATAGTGTTCAGGAAAACACAGGAGGCAGGGCAAGATATAATACTCAGGGATAATTCCCAGTGATCTACTTCCATGTAGCCCTCCTTCCAACAGTGTCAATGTATGATGAATAAAGGAACTGCCATGCATCAGGTCAAGGCCTCATGACCCAGTGATCTCTGGAAACACCCTTACAGATAAACCCAGAAGTGTGCCTTACTAATATCTCAGGTAGTCTGGATCCAATCAGGTTGATGCTGAAGATGAACCCCCACAGGTTTCATGACTGTCAGGAGCTGAAAAATTCCTCTCACCTAGAAAAATCACAGCATAAAGTCTGCAGTGGCCTTGTAAAGAAACCTGCTCAAGTCATACAGAGACAGCACACATAGTCATGCAATGTCTAGGACTGGGTAGTGACAGCCAATCCTGCTGTTACTGGGCATTTACTACATTACACTCATCATGGCTATTTCACAATGGATTCCTTCTACTTATTAAAAATAGAAGTTACTTTCACAGAATCATAGTGCAGTTCTTTGTGGAAGCATTCCAGAAGATATTGTTTTCATAGGAGTGACAGCTATGTGTGAGTCATTGTCCTTGAAGACCTTCTAATGGGACACAGAGTACAAGTAGAAGACAGTACTAAGGAAGATTTTTACCCTATGGAGGTCGAGACTAACGTGTGTGTTTGTCTTAGTTTGTAACAAAAAAGTTAAGTGAAAAGATTTTTAAAAATTAAAAGGAAAGGCTTATAGAATAATACTATTAAAATATTTTTGTTTAGCTGTATTAGTAATGTCCTTGTGTTTTACACAGTTATTATAAATGACTAGATTTCTAAAACGTCAGTGAGATAGCTCAGCATGTAAAGGTGCCTCATGACCCAAGTCCAACGTCTAGGGTCCACAGGGTGAAGAAGAACCAACTCCTGTTAGTTGTCCTTTAGCTTTCACATCTGGGCCATGGCATGGCATGTGAGTACCAGCTGGGCACCCCAAGAAAAGAAGCAACATGTAAAAAATGGTAAAATTTAACAAAGTAAAAAAGTAACAGTATTACTGAATTAATTAGAATAAAGAAATAAATCAAAATAAGAAATAAAGTTTTAAAAGTAAATTGAGTTTCTCCTTAGGGTAGAGGCAACCAGAGGAGACATTCAGGCCAGGTCTTCTAATGCTCCACTTCCTTACTGACTAGGAATACCTTCAGGTAGGGTCAGTAAGTTCTATTCAGATGTCCGCCCTATAAAGTATGCTTACTTTACTTTTCCTGTACTGTTTCCAAAAGTAGATATGCACACAGCACAGTGTTAACTGTTTCCAGTATCCAGTTAGGTGACAGGTTTGTAGCTTACGGGCAATAGACTATGCCATAGAACACATGTGTGCAGTGGGCCACACTGTTCAGGTTTATACAAGAACACTCCACATACACTAATAACCAGTCAGTAACTATTATAAGAGAGAGGACCACTGCTAGCTAGAATCGACTTTAAGATCCTTTTCTGTTCAAAGGCAAATACTTACTTTGATTTTCAAGTAAGATAAACTGAGAGTACTTAAAAAAATTCTTTGTGCCTTTGTCTTCTAATTTCCCAGTGACATTATACTCAATAAATGCTTTTCTAGAAAAATCAACTATGCAAAATCTATCTATCAGCCATTAAATTTACTAGATTGTAGTTCTATTGAGATGACATTGTATGTAAGTTCATCAACTTTTTGTCTTTCTACTTTTTCCAAACTGGAAATAATTTCAGTTTATTAACAGATCCATTAAAATGTCAGCACAAAACTCAAAAGAAAAATAATCTAAAGAGACATGTAATCTGACTTACCGAGATGAGCTGAAGTCCTGAGATGTTATGTTGCCCCTGTAAAATTTAGTTCTCGTCTCCAAATACAGATCATCTTTACATTGATGTAATTTAATGTGTGTCTTCCTCCAGAGACTCAAGACTCTACAAGGGCAGGGTTCACCTCTGTCTTGATCCCATTACTCCCAGGGCCTTGGAGAGGCATCTTTCAAGTACATTTGACAAATCTACTTTAAAAAATACAAACCTAAACAAAAGGAGACACAAGACTTTACAGATATTCTAGGACAAAATACTTCCAATACTTTATAAAGGTTACATAAACAAATAAACAAAAGTCCACACAGTTAAACACAGGATGAAGACAGGAACAAAGATTATTTGCCCAAATGACTGACTGGTGTGACAAAATTAAAGCATATGTCCTCTGAGCATAATGCTCAAAGCCTCTGGCCTCCTAAAACTAAACTCTGAGTCACAAAGGCAAAACCCTTAACAGAACTTTGAAGGGATTCTACTATTACTACTATATTTTAAGGGCATGCTGTTACTGAAAATGATTACTGCTAGATTGCCTCAAAACCTATCATAAGCCAAAAAAAAAAAAAGTTTAAGTTTAACAAACTTCCTTAACACACACTGATACAGACACACATACTCATACACTCACACATCAGTTTTTGCTCTTGACTATTAATGAGAAGAAGCCAAATCTTAACAATCACTAATGAAAATGTAAGGCTTTGGGCTCTGTCAATGTTTGCACAACTGAATTAAGCTATTCATAAACTTGCATTCTAGCTTTAAGGCAATCTTAAGCAAGACAGAAACTGATATTTTCTCTAAATCATATCAAAATAAAAGTTTCCTGGAGCTAGAGAGATGGCTCAGTGTTTAAGAGCACTGTCTGCTCTTGCAGAGGACCCAGGTTTGATTTCTAGCATCCTTATTTGACAGCTCAAAACTACCTTTAACTCCAGCTCTAGGGGATCCAATGCCTCTGGATTCCTAGGGCACATGCATTCATGAATACTCCCACATACAGACACATACTTGAAAAACAGGAATAGATATTTTATGGCCACAAAAATGGCTGGTGAAAATCATATGTTTCTGTATATATGTGTTCATATTTTGTCAAAGCAGGATAGTTAAAAAATTATGAGTTTATTTGTTAGTTAACACAACCAATGACCACACAAAACAAGTGTTGAGAACTTCTGTAAACGCCCAGAAACTATTTTCAGTTTTGTGGCTCTGAGGTGCCCATTGTCCCTCGCTACTCCTGCTACTAAAACAACAAAGGATATCTACAAAATTACTCCAACTTTTTTCTGAGCACTGAAACCAACTGTCTAATTTTCATTTGTTACAAGCATAATCTTTTAGGTTCCCCCTGCCCCAATATTCAGAAATGTAAAAGTCCACTAGTCAGGCATGATGGCATAGGCCTTTAATCCCAGTACCTGGGAAGCAAAGGCAGACTCTGAGTTTCAGGCCAGCCTGGCCTATACAAAGAGTTCTAGGTCAGCATAGTGAGAAGCTGTCTGAAGAGGGGGGGAAAAGCAAATCCAATCAAACAAGAAACCCCACAGTCTTAGATTGCAGGCCTCACAAAACCAGGCCTAAGGTGGCCTAATGAATTATAGTCTGTTATCCTAATTCAATAGTTTGAACATCTGATTTTTGCTACTTAATATAGCAGTTCTCAACTTGTGGGTAGCAACCCTTTTGGGGTTCGCATATCAGATATCCTGCATATCAGATGTTTACAATGTTTATAACACAACATTGAAATAATTTTATGGTTGGGGGTCACCACAGCATGAGGAACCATATTAAAGGGTTACAGCATTAGGAAGGTTGAGAACCACTGACTTAGTGGCTAAGTACCCTTATCTTTAAGGCCATCCTAGCCCCACCCCTACATGAGGAAACCCACCACCACCACTAGGCTGGAACTAAGCTCTAATGTGCAGGCAGGAGTAAGCTATACTACTAACATAACAAGTGCAGCAAACATAAATAAATAAATGATATGAATTTAATCTGAGATTAAATGTACCAAGCAGTATTCTCAGCAATGTGGTAGTTTAATTTGTATCATAGCCACGGGATGGGTATTTCTACGATCCCTATTTTACATATAAAGAAACTGGCACAAATGGCTTATGTGAACTATCTAAGCTCACACAATGAGTAAATATGTTCTTGAGGCTCATAGACAGGCACCATGTTTTGTCCTTTACCTTCATCATCTGTTCTTTTCTTACAAAATTTTCATTTCCTGTGACAATTCTCAGAGATTACAATGCACATGTAGAAAACAATGTGATACACATAACAATGACTAATAAACAGCTAAGCTTGACTGAGACTTTCTGGACAGTAACACAACTGAAGGGCTCAGATGGAGGGGATTTCAGTATTCTCATGAAAAGACTGGGCACCAAGTTCCTATTCCTTCCTGTGTGCTATTCACTAGAATAAATGTTGATGACACTATCCCAGAAAAAGGGTGGCAAAAGTCAAGTCACTACTGCTATCTCTAAATGACTTAACTTTCTTACTTAAATATCCTTCCAGCTTTGCTGTGGGGAGGGCATTTACACACCTATACTGTTTGTCCCTTACTGGTATGCTAGCAGTACTGTTCAACAGCCCCAGTATAGTGAACTTAACCTGCACTCATCTGCACGATGTTCTTGTTTCTACCACTTTGTTGGCTCTGAAGGCGAGTGTTCCAAATGCAACAATGTGCAGAATAACAGATTCTTTAGTGGGCATTTGAAAAAAGTTGGGGTTATTAAAATTATTTAACTAAATACTTAAAATTTATTTCAGCATAGTATTAAATTGCTAAAGTAGCTTTTAGAAGTTATAATGTAAGACCATAACTTCAAATAAGTTTGTAATAAAAACACTGAAGAACTTGACATTTGAGGACTTTGGCTGGCCAAGGAAATAAGAAATGGCTAAAAGTGAACTTCTTCCAAAGAGCTGTCACTGAAAGGCAGCTATGTGCCAGACAATTACTTCAGAGTCTGCTTTCATTACTTACAGAAACATGAGGAAATTTACATGATAGATGATCTCCATAGCATTGGGCCAAGGACATAAGACACTGGGGTTCTTACCAGGACAAGGCTTAGAGCAAAATTAATCTGGCCAATGTTATAAAATATATTTGCCAAATTCTCTTAAATTTGTACTTTTCCAAAAACATTTGCTATCAGTAAACTGCACAATTCTATAACGTGTGACTAGCCTAGTAAGAAAATGATACTTCTCAGCAGAAAGCAAGCAGCCATGTTTCCCGAGGTGGCTCAAAACAATGTGTATTCCAAGAGAAACTTTCTGGCTTAAAATTGTACTCCCACATTTTCATTTTCAAAAGCCACATCTCAGAGCTGTGGCTTACACTCTCCCTCTCACCTTCTCTGCCTTGGCTCTCATCAAACTGTATGGGTACTATCTGCTAAAAGCCCTTTGGATGCCACATTTCCTCTCTCCGCTGCTGACCTCCTGGCACATGTTGCATCATCCCCTACCTAGAAAACCAGATACTCTTACCAGGCTTCTATGGGGTTTCACGGTCTGCTCCTGACTCATTTTCCCCTACACTTCTTGCCTCAGTTCTGCACTCCAGTTACAGCAGCTTTCTCTGAATTTCCTGAGCATAACAGCTTCCTCTCAATGGAGTCTTTTACATACATTGCACTTGCTTGTGTAATGACAAAATGCCTAAGACAATCAACTTAATGGAGGATTTGCTTTACTCCTGGTTTCTAGGTTTCAGATGATGTTTCCCCAGTCACTATGGGGCCTGTGGTTGGGAGTATATTTCATAACAGGAGGAACGGCAGAAAAGCCTGCTCCCCTTATGGTGGCTAGGAAGCAAGAGGAGAGACAGAGAAGAAGAGATAGGGCCCCAATATTCCCTTCAAGAGCATGTCCTCACAGTGATCTAACTTTTTTCCAGTAGGCTCCACCTCCAACACGTTCTCCTTTCTCTCAACATTGCTATAGACTGGCCAACACCTCAATACACGAGCCTTTAGGAAACATTGAAGATTCAAAGCATAAAAAGGTATCAAGGCAAAACCATCTCCTCAGAGCTGTCCAGTGCTAGACTGACTCAGATACCCTTTTAATCCATTCAGCAAATCCTGTATCTTTCCCGCATATTATTGTGATTTTATTTAAATAATGCCTAGTGCCACTAACAGAGAAGCTATAGGAGAGTGGGCTCATATTTCTTTGTGCTCAGTATCTAGCATCTAGAATCACAACAAAACCCAAGAGGAGCTCAATCAGTAATTGGTTGTAATAAAAAATAGCATATCACAAAGCCTCCTTTTAAAGTGTTCTATCTACAGCTAGAATAGTTATATTCCATACAGTTATAGGCTAGATTATAGGGTACCAATCTACATATCACAAATCTTCCTTTAAAGTGTTAGTGACTTAACAGCACATCTGAAAGCCCTAGAACAAGAAGAAGCAAAATCACCCAGGAAATAATCAAATTGAGAGCTGAAATCAATAAAATAGAAACAAAGAGAACAATACAAAGAATCAATGAAACAAAGAGTTGGTTCTTTGAGAAAATCAACAAGATAGACAAGCCCTTATCCAAACTAACCAAAAGGCAGAGGGAGAGCATCTGAATTAGCAAA